ATACATGTAATACAATATAACTACTATTATTAAAATAATTTCAAGATACAATAAAGTACAAATAACTTGTGCATTACCCAAAAGGTTTAACAAGAAATAGCGTAGGACGTTGTAATGTAAAATAGAGGAACCCTTCAAATAAAGATAAAAAGAAAAGAAAAGAAAAGAAATAAAGAATGGGAAAGAAGATAAGTTTAGCATCTAGTCTCAAGTTGGTCTGGTTGCGCGTTTGCAGAAGTATGGGACTAGCTAAAAGACGAATACTACGATGGGTGGTCGATCGTGCATGAATGTTTCATGGCTCCTAACTATCCACGAAACATGATCGATAGTCGGTTAGCACTCCACTCGCCAACACTATCTTTCCTTTCTTTTCTATCTTTCTTTCTCTTTCACATCAACTCTATATACACACATACATAAACATATATACATATACACAAATACTAACTAAGGTATAAAACTCTAGTACATGGGGAGCGTAGGTGTGTACGAGGTGTATACACGTGAATTTGTATGTGTGTTAGGTTGCACGAGGCGTAGTTCATAAATACGCGAGCATTTGGCAGTAAATCTTGGTAGCCACTGCGAGAGAACCAAAGGTGGTCTCTCACTCGTCCTCTTCGTTACTTTCTCTCTCTCTCTCTCTTTCTCTCTTTCTTTCTTTTATTCATTTTAACATAGTGTTTTCTCTTTCTATCTCGCACACACTTCTCCCTGTTGTTAATTATCGTGTTTTAACACCTAGCCTCACACCACCAGCACCACCACTAGCTAGTTTGCTTCACTTTCCTCCCCTTCCTTCCCTTCTCTACCCCTCCTTTCGTTTCTTCTTGCTGCAGGGGTTAAACGGCGCCAGGGTACGCCGTTCCGCCTCTCGGCTTGAACGCGCCCTTTACGACAAGCGTTTCGACCATTATTTTATTCTAATAGTCTTCCCTTTATTCTCTATCATCTTCCTTGGTTTATTATTATTATTTCTTATTACACTTCATTAATGTCACGTTATTACAATATGATTGAATAAATCTGAAAAAAAGACATATTAAATGAAACGTTTAATGATATCAAATGATTATTATTATTATTATTCTTGTATGTATTATATAAAGAAATTTTTCAATCTAAAGATCAGATGATGATGATGATGATGATAAGAATGAGATAAGTATCGGGTAAAATGTAGATTGTTAATCTAGATCCAACTGTTGGAATCTTTTTGACTAAAGTACTTTTGCGGGGTGGGTATCGTTTGGTCGAATTAAAAACAACATCGTTGATAGGAGAGATGATAGCGAGAGTGGTTGGCGTGTTGAAGAAAAAGGGCGTGACGTATGGAACCCTTGGGGTCTTACCGATACCAAACGTACCTTTTCCCAAACACCAAACCGCGCCTGCCTGCCTGCTTGCTTGCTTGCTTGCTTGCTTGTGCTTATATTATTACTGACATACATATTTATGTGTTGAACACCAGAGACCTTAGGTTTAGGTGCAACAGAGAGAAATAGACAGACAAAGATGGAAAGACAAAGAGTGAAAGGGAAGAAGAAGAAGAAGAAGAAGAAGAAGAAGAAGAAGAAGAAGAAGGAAAAGGAAAGAATAAGAAGAAGAAGAAGAAGAAGAACGTTGGTTCTTTCTCTGGCTTTGAGTTAGTTATTATTGAATCAATTACCCACAAGTATTTATAGGGTGTAGCGTGTTTCTTTCTGCTTCTCGCTTAGGTACTCTCTTTCTCTTTCTCTTTCTTTCTCATACCCATCTCTTCGCAAGAGATTAAATCGAAACGCAACTGGAAATTCACGGCTTAAGAAGAAATATATTCTACGTGAACATACTACTACCCACCAAGTGGTAAAGCCAAAGGGGGTGTAGGACATTCAACAACTAATTTGACTCCAATCATTTCTTCTTAAATATCGTATATTAAATACTTCTTCTTTTCTTAATCATTGTGTTACATTTTGATCCATTGATTTCATAAAAAAGAAAACATTAGTATAACTTAAACAGTAAACAATTTTCAAATTGATACAATATTTACTTTAATATTAAC